AGAACCATTGAAATGGTCTTAGCTTGGTTTAAAGTTTTAAGTTGAGTAGGTTCAAGCGAAAATTTAGTTTCCAGACAATGCTGGGTTCCCAAGCTAAAAAGAAAATGAAATCATTAAATTCTAAGGGTGAAACTTTTGTTCAAATCCTGATTCACCGATTCAAATCCTCGAAAAATTTTTGAACCGGCGGTAGGCAGGTCAGCGACTTAGCTCATATTCATAAAATTCGGTTCCTGATGAAATGATTTATTTCAGGTAGTTATGGCACACTCCCCTCTGAGAATGTTTAATGAGTTCCACAACAAACATGTTCTTGTAACAGGACAGGGACCAGTTGAGTTCATTGCTCGAAATCTTGGATTTAAAAAGGTAAATATTAGATTTTTATTTTTATAAAATTGTCGTACAAGACACTCTACAATCAAATAGCGATCAATCAACAGTGTCTAACCTGAAGAGTAAATAAGTTGTGATAACAATCTATGATTGTCAAGCTACTGTCCGCCTAGCTTGTGATTTTCCTACTTGCGCCCAATTAGACTGTTACTGACAAGCTAGCATGTTTCCGACCTTAACTACCGTCAACCTAACTAGCGACCGATTAGCTAGTCGGGGTTTATCAGCCAGTTGATAAAAGATTTTTTAGCTATTTTTCACATCGAAGATGCAGTTTCTCAAGAGAAGTTATTATTTGAATTCAGATTTTGATCTAATACAGTTAAGAGAAGAATTTTTCATAATTCAAATCATTAAAATAAAATATTTTGAGAAAAAGTGAACATTGTTAAAAGTACATATTTGACGAGGATAAATCAGAAAACTTTTTAATTGTTACAGGTGACAACGATGGATCAACTCCGCCATGCTTTCCCTGCTCTAGACGCCGTAGATCATAAACGTAGACGCGCAGCAGCTTGCGCTTTCGAGAAATATTTCCCTAGAATAGAAGCTGTAGTTCTCTTCGGGGAGCCGGTCAGGTGGGAGACATCACTCCAGGTTAATACATTAGTATAATACTTTCAGACCCTCACCCCCACCACCTTCTCCTTCATACTCTATCAAGAATCTAAGCCAAGACCTCAAGTTTTAGAATTTAACTGTCAACCCCTCTGGCCCTCCCTTTCCCAGTACAACTGAGTGGCAAATTGTACAACTTGTAAGTTTTATAAATTATACGCTAGACGAACTAATAAAATTATTACAAATATGTGAATCCACTAGGCACAAATATGGGCACTCAAACAAGAAAACACTCAGTAACAATTAAAGGGGGGGGGGAGGGGCAAAAATGCAACAACAAAAAACCACAAGGGCAAAAGCATAGCTTGGAGTAATGGATTAAGAAAAGACCAAAATAGCGTTGGTCAATATAGCCGAGGTGTATATTTTCCTAAAAATCATCCCCCCTTTTCATTTCCAATATTTAATTTTTCAGTATCTTCTAATATTTAAACCCCTGCTAATTAGTGAAATCAGCAATGTGTGTTTGTGTGGGGGGGGGGGGGTTATGAAAGGTACACTATGATAAGCCTAGAATAGTTTTGTTATCCTGAAACTCTTTTTTAGCTTCTCATAGATGTTCTTCTCTCTGACGGTCAACCATCCGCAGCTCCAGAAAAAATCGTCTACCCTCATCTACCCATCCTGGCCTGCAACATGGATCTCCAGTGGATGGCCGAGGCCGTAATGCCGAGGTTTGGACACGGAGCATTTCTTCTCTGTTTAGAAAATTTATATAAAAAGGTAAGATCAATCTTAATTAATCAAAAATACCAGAGATTATAGAAGCGCAAAAATGACTGACCACATTTTGGAAATGGCAAGACTACCACTGACCGCTATTCAGTGATAATTGTTTCAGAAAAAATATTGCTAAAATGAGGTTACCTTTGATGAATGCCGCAAACTATTTCTAAGTTCAAAGACGACTTTGAAGTCCTAAATTTGAATTGGCAGGACTAGGGCTATTTTTTATTATCGTTTCATTAATCATATTTTTAAAATTAGATTGTAAAGTCGTCTCTTTAATTGTAAATAAATTCCAGGAATTTCTGATTATGACTGTATGAAGCTGGGAACTAAAAACTTCAGACAAACTTTAAAACTTATATTTTTAGAATCTCACTTTTAAAAGACCAGTTTTCTGAAAGCTGAATGAAACTCATCTACATATCTTTTCATTCTCATCTTCAAGAACTTTGTTTAACGTTGGCACTAAGAAGATAGAAATTGAGTAAATTATCAATGAATTGACCCGAAATGGTATCAATTAGTATACTAATTACCCGTTTCCAGGTAACTGGGCATGAATTGGTGTACACAGCGTTAGTTGGAAAACCAAGTGAAATCACATACAGGAAAAGAAATCAACAATTTATCCCCCCTTGTCCAAGATCTTGTTAAAGGGACTGAACGCGTAATTTCACGTGACCCTCCTCGCAAAGATGGCAATGTCCGATTCATAACGGTACCCTTAAAGGTTTGTCTGTTTATGTATTAATTAGAATGTTTGTAATTTGGGAAACTGATCTTTTTTAATTGTGGTTTCTCTCCAACGGTGATCTGCATATTTCTACTGCAGGAAAACCGATTATAAGAAGTAAACAATTTAAAAGACGACAATATTTTCCACATTTTGGATCAGATAATGATTTCAAGGGTATCGTTGTGAATCGGGCATTGCCATTTTTGCATGGAGGGTCACGTGAAATTACACTCACACAATCCCCTCAAGCTATTCCTGTGAAGCAACATTGCATCAGTTATGCATAAATAATAGAATAAATAAGATTCCGGTTCTTTTGATATCATCAGATGCGTATATAGGGTGGGTCACTATTGGGACTTGGTCCCCCTCCCCCCTAACCTGGATCAATGAAATCTATGGTTTCCCGTATTTTGGGCCACAATGGATGCTTAGCCCCCTGGAAAGGAAAAATCTAAGACTCCCCCCCCTTGACAAAAGCCTGACTACGCCCCTGGATATCATTCCAAGATTCAACTGGTTGGTTTCTAGGCACAGTGAGCACGTTCTGCAGGAGCAAGCGTTGAAAATAGGATTAAAGAAGCCGGTTCGGCATATTTATTGTATCGGAGACAACATCTGTACAGATATATTCGGAGCTAATCTATACAATAAATATCTACAGAGAGCTAGGGATACAGAGATTATATCTCAGGTTCAAGCTCAGGTTCATTTCACATTTTTTCTTTAGTTTCATTTTTTTCTTTTTCTATCCTGGGTACACTTATCCTTTTTCTATCCTGGGTACACTAATCCTTTTTCTATCCTGGGTACACTAATCCTTTTTCTATCCTGGGTACACTAATCCTTGTTCTATCCTGGGTACACTTATCCTTTTTTACTATGTTCTCTTCGATGAAAAAAAATTGAATCCGAACCTTATTTCCAATCTTTTGTTAATTATTTCACCTAGGATTTGATCTTTTCAATTAATTAATGAACATGGAATCAAGGTTAAAGTTCGGGATACTTATCCCCAAGAACAAGATTCTGGGTGGTAATTATCCCCAATAACCCCATTATATTTACACCCCTGTCTCAGATCCTTCCCTTAATCTTTTGCACCGAGGGAGAAATGCCTGTTGGTGTCAAGAAGTACTATTTTTGGTTTTTCTGTATTGAAACACAATTATCGGGCATTTCTAGAACCTACTCTAGACAAAAAATAAAATTTTTTGGTTTCTTCTATTTTTAAATTATGTTATTCACAGGATCCAAAACATTGTTTAAATCATGAGTATTTTATGGCAATTCTGTTACTTTTTTTCTTGAAGAATCTCTTTGCTTCCTATATAGTGCAAAGTGGGACAGGGTAAAACCTTAAACAGGGGTGTATTTTTCCCCAGAAGCTTTATGGTTTAATTCCCTGAGTTGGGGAAAATAAATGATGTTTGGGGGAAATAAATGATGTTTGGGGGAAATAAATGATGTTTGGGGGAAATAAATGAAGTTTTGGATAAAAAGTATCAAAAATAATAAAAAAAAAACTTGCCGTTTGATGTCCAATTTTTCAATTTTTTCAAAATCCTCAGAAATCCTAATTCTGAAAAATATGCACCCTTTACCTCATATTACTTTAAGCCTATTGTCTTAGGTCCCCACCTGCTAAACTGTAAAATTTAAATCATATTCTTTAAATATTTTCTAATTCTAGAATATTGGTCACAACTCCCGTAGTATAGACAACCTTCTGGGTACAGAGGGAGAACTCAAGGGAGCAACCTCGTGCTATTCAATCCTAGTGGAGACAGGTACAAGTCCTTTTCAGAATATAATTTCCTTTCAATTTTGTCCAATTGTTATCTTAATTTCTTTCTAACTATCCATAACTCGGGGGTGTAAATGTATTTTTTAAATTTTTTTTGGGGGTGGGATAACAAGTTTTTTCTATTTATGATTTAACGGGGGAAAATTTTTATGATGAGGGGGGAGTGAAAATAAATATCCCTGCGGTAAAACAATAACTCTAATTAAGTAAATAATTTCAGGCGTATTCTCCCGAACCGGGGGATCTAATGTAAGTTTGGATCATTCTCCTCGAGATTTCTTGCCAGTAGAAAACAGCTACCAGGAGCCAACCTTCTCTACTGAAAACGTCCTTGGAGCCGTTGATCTCATCTTTGAGATGGAAAATTACAAGAAAAATGATCAATAAGCTGTTCTCCCGTCCTTCTCCTCAATACATAGTGAAGTGAAAACCTAGAACCTTATAAATATTAGACTTGTGTTTCTAGCTTCTATTAGGATTCAGACAAAAAAGATAAAATCTACAGCTGATTAAATGAATATATGTTAAAGGGTCTGCTGACGTAATTTCAAGTGAACCTCCATGTCCGATTCACAGCGGTACCTTTAAAAGCTTTGCATGATCAAGAATGAATGAGTTGCCATGTTTCCACTTTAAAACTTGACTATTTTAAACAGTGGTTTCTCCATTGAAGTGACTCGCGAATTTATTCTAGAGAAATAAGAGGATGAAAATACTCAGAATTAACCCCTTTTACTCTTGTAAAACAACGATATCTTCCACATTATTGACCAAAGTAAGGCTTAAAGAGTACCGTTGTAAATCGGACATGCCCTTTTTACATAAACCCACTTTAGTATGAACTGATACAATACTCTAATTTATCCTTCAACATTATATTCATAATTTTATGTATTTGATTTGTTTATCGGATATACTGCTCTTAACTCCCATAGTATAAGTTATTATAGGATCTAAAAATCGAATTCACAAAACTCTAGATTTTGAAACATACATCACCCAACCAGGGCGGATTTATAATCCAGGTTAAATCAATTCTATAAACTACAGTGAAACCCTTAATAACGAATACATCGAATGAATTCATCAAATGTCGTATTCTTCACTTTCTGATAATGGAATGTTGCAGATATTTAGTTTTTTAATTAAATGATTATATGGAACTCTTTAAAACTGTTCCTGCATATTCATGGATATTTATTTATTTTCCCAAATACTGAAATTTACGTAATATAGTATAAAACTCGTTGAAAAATTGTCAAGACGACATTTGATAAATTCTTCCGATGTATTCATTATTAAAGGTTTCACTGTATAAAACATCACTTAGATACCCAACTTAATTTAAACCATTGTGTTGGATGCTCTTTACTCTACGCTTTCATCTCAATATACACTGTGGGCACTTTAAATTTAAGGATCAATGCGTAGGATAATTCATTCAGTTATTCCTCCAGGAAACGATTATCAGGCCGGATATAGAATAAAGATTAGATTAATCTACGGATTAACAAAAGATCAAGCATTGATCTCGATATTCACAATACAAGAGTTCCCATCTCAGGACGCACTACACTCGGTTATTATAGGATTTATGATCCTGACTTTAAAACATCACCCAACAACTAAACTTAATTTGAACCAAGAGCATAATTCATATCACTCATTTATCGTTTATCGTAACGTTAGATATTGCTCAGCATAGTTCAGTATTTCGGCCTTATTTCAATTTTCTAAACAACGTTTTCTTGGTTTTCTGAATACTTTGTTCAGTTTACTAAACACTCAAGTTTTCTGAGCGTTAAAATGTTTTTGATAACTGTATTGAACAAATTGTTCAGTTTTCTAATCATCATATTTTAATTTTCTGATCATCTTGTTTTAACTTTCTGATCATCTTGTTTTAACTTTCTGATCATCTGTTTTAGTTTTCTGAACAAATTGCATAGTTTTCTGATTTTCTTATTTTTGCCTTTTGAAACTTGCCAGTTTTCGGCTCTTGTTTTAGTTTTCTAAACTACTTGTTCAGTTTTCTGATTAAATTGCTCAGTTTTCTTATCATCTTATTTTAGTTTTCATAACAATTTGTTCTGTTTTATGATCATCTTGTTTTAGTTTTCTGGACATTTTGTTCAGATTTCAACAAATTTCATTATATTTAAATTGAGGTTTATATTTTAAACATGGCGGATTATTCCAACTTAAGTTCAGCTCTCCAAACAATTCGTTTAATCCTCAATTCCTGCCTCACTGCTCACTATTAGTTACATTATTTTAGCACTGGTTTAAAGCTTAGGAACACATTAGGAAGACATTTTTTTGAAGGAAATCTTATTTTAACGAGCATAATACAGATTTTTGCTCAGATCGGTTCTTATTTTTATTAAGATTTATTTTCATATTTATCTTTTACATTGTTGAGTATACTCAATTATATGAAGTAATATGTACATATATTTATATAAATTAATTGACTCAGTTCTGAATGAATTTGCAACCACTATGTTAAAATTCACGTCAGTAAATGTCTTTTTGTCTATTGTACTGTTTTAGTGTTCTAACTAAAAGTTACATGAAATATGATAAAGTTGTTGAAGATAATATCTGAAGATTTTGAATAATGCAACCGTGAAGGAAGACGAAATTAGGTTAAATTATACGAAGTAACTCTTATCCTTAAATTTTTTCCCTCTTAAGGGACTGTTAAGGAAAAATGAAAGGGGGTATAGACTGAAACCTAAGCATTTTAAAAGTTGATCAAGACCCATAAGAGTTCTATCTGATGAACCTGTCTCAAAAAATTGATAATAAACTTTGTCAAATTTATGCTAAAATCTCTCTCTCTATATATATATAATATATAATTGTCTATATAAATAGTAGTTTAATAAAAGGTTTCAGCAAATACGCAACCAATCTAAAAACGACGATATCCCAGAGAAGCCTAAGTAACTTTGGTTCGCTCCTGTTATTTTTTGAAAATAATACTTATTAATTTTTAATAGATATAATTGATAGCATTATTTATACGTCCGTATCACGCGACCAAAACTCCCACCAATGGTAGTGCAGTATACTGGCCACGTGATACAGACGAAGACACGTGACAATAATACTGCACTGCCATTGGTAGGAGTTCTGGTCACGCGATACGGACGTAATAATTATATTATCAAATATATCTATTAATAATGAAAATGATTAAATTCAAATAATAATTGGAGCAAACAGAAGTTACTTAGGCTTCTCTGGGATATCGTAGTTTTCAGATTAGTTGCATATTTGCTGAATATGATCTGTTTAAATCTACGATTTTTATACAAAATTTTATGTGTATAAATTTTCGTATAAATTTGACACAGTTGTAAATCAATTTCTCGAGACAGGAACATCAGATAGAACTCTTATGGGTCTCTATCAACTCCTAACACGCGTAGGTTTCAGCCTATACCCTCTTTCATTTTTCCGTTACAGTCTGTCTTAAGTATCACTTTTTATTTAGTCTCAAAATCGTTATTTCTTCTTCCTATATGTTGTTTCATTTTAATGACTATTAATCCCATTCTTAAAAAATAAAATAAATATGTATTAACAAAACTTACATTCATAAAAAATTTCTTATACAGTGATGTTCTGAATAACCCGGAATAGTATAAATTAAATAATAACTTTAAAGTCGTCTAGACCTGAGAAATAGTTTGCGGCATTTAACATAGGTAACTTGATTTTAGCAATATATTTTTATGAAACAATCACAGAATAGCCCCATGTCCTGCCATTTCCAAAATGTGGTCTGCCATGTTTTGGTCTTTCATTATTACCGGAGAAATGAAAGATTTCGTTCAAAATGAGACATTTTTATGTTTTTTTTCAATAAATTAAATTTAAACCAAAATCTTTATATCTGAAAAAAATGGCTATTTTGTGAATATTATTTTTTTGAAAAAATATTGCTAAAATCAAGTTACCTATAATAAATGCCGCAAACTTTTTCTAAGGTCAAAGACGACATTGAAGTTATTAATCAATTTTTATTATTCCGGTGTAGCGTTACATCCAGACCGGGCGTTGTATTTGGTCCGGGTAGTGTTGCATGTGAAATCATGTACAAAATTGATAGGAGGGGAAGGGAGGGGGGTCAAAAAATCATATATTAGGAAATTACTGCTGGTTATGTATAAAATTGACAGAACGGGGGGAAACAAAAAATTGTAACAATTTCAATAACAATGATAATGTGCATGCTTTGGGTCCGTCAAAGTAAACAATTTTTGGACCCCCCCCCCCCCGTTCTATCAATTTTGTACATAACCAGCGGTAATTTCCTAATATACGATTTTTGACCCGCCCCCTTTCCTCCTCCTATCAATTTTGTACATGGATTTCACCCGGGCCTTGTTTAACGTGACACCGGGTTATTTAGAACATCATGCACTGTATCATAAAAATGTAGCTCAAAGCTCGTGTTCTCCTGAATAACTTAAAGTAGAATATGTACTTTTCTAGCATATATTTTACTTAAATACTAGTGTACTCCAGATTGTACTGCTCTGATATCCAAGGTATGTATTCGGATACTCGGGTAAATACTGTAGGAAATCCACCCAGAGCACACCTGCAATATTCCCATTTATACAGAAAATTAATCAATCAATCAAAAAATCACTATATAAATGTTCAAATGCTTTAAAAGGAAATATAACTATAAGCGTAACTTCAAGTGACCCTCCATGAAAAAATAGCAATGCCCGATTTACAACAGTACCATTAAAACCTTAATTTGATCAAAAATGTGGAAGATACCGTCGTTTTTCTGACTTGTTAAGTGTATAATTCTGATACTTTCTCAATTGCTTCTTATAAGCAAGAAATACACAAATCACTTAATCAGATAACCCGAAAATGAAAATAACCAATGAAAAGAAACAATAACATGGATATTCAATTCATACTTGATTTGACAAAGCTTGTAAGGGTACCGTTGTAAATCGGGCATTGTCATCTTTAAATGGAGGGTCACGTGAAACTACACGTGTGTGAAACCACAAAATAATGAATTAATATTATTTGATTTCGATAAATAATTGTAAAATAACTAGTTTGGCTCGTCAATATAAAGTTCCAGATAGGACTTCACTGTACTGTACTGTACACATTCGCTTTTAAGACTCGACTGAAGACTTGTAATGTTATTTTAGTCTTCTGAAAAATCAGCCTAGAGTTATTTCAAAGTTGGGGGGTTAATTGTTCTCAACAAATAAAAATATGATCTTGTAGATAAAATAGTATTTAACTTTTCTGTGTAGTGAGTGTAGTTTGTATGAATTACCATTAATATTTATTCCCCTAGAGGGTTAAACTAACGGGACTAAAAACCTATGCAAAATATTAGAACTCTTAATCCTGTCATATGACGCGTTAAACTGTTTCTTCTCATCTGTCTTCATTTAAAATAAACTCCATGTATTCTAGAAATTTCAAATATTTGGTAAATTCTTCAGACTAATTGTCAGCGCTGCACAAGCTTGAAGCACATGACTAGTCTAACATTACAATCGTTAAAACAAGAAAATACTTAAAACAATTAAGAATGTTTTTGATTTTTGTGCATTTATTAATCATTTTATACTTGTATTGAATTTACTAAACCTACCCTCTACTCCAGTAATAAACTATACCTAACCTCTACTCTGCAGAAATAAACTATACCTACTCTCTACTCCAGTAATAAACTATACCTACCCTCTGCTCCAGTAATAAACTAAACCTACCCTCTACTCCAGTAATAAAATAAACCTACCCTCGACTCCAGTAAAAACTAAACCTACCCTCTACTCTAGTAATAAACCAAACCTGCCCTAAAATCCAGTAATAAACTAAAACTACCCTCTATTCCAGTTATTAACTATACCGACCCTCTTCTCCAGTAATAAACTATAGCTACCCTGTACTCCAGTAATAAACCAAACCTACCCTCTACTCTAGTAATAAACTAAACATACCCTCTACTCTAGTAATAAACTATACCTACCCTCTTCTCCAGTAATAAACTATATACCTACCCTGTACTCCAGTAGTAAACTAAACCTACCCTCTACTCCAGTAATAAACTAAACATACCCTCTACTCCAGCTGGTGATTCCAACGATAGTCCAAGGTTCATCATCCGAATACCTGGCAACCAGTGCACTTCCACTATCACCCTTCACATAATTAAGAATTATGATATTTCACATTTTGTTTAACTTGACAATGATATAACCCAAAAAGAGTATCCTGCAATTTTGAACATATTTTCTCTAATAATCGAGACCTCGTGTGTACTTCCACAAAAGCGTTAATTTTATGTTCATATTCATAATTGCGTTTCATTTCTTGTTCTTGTACAGTGTACATATCAACTTGTATGTATGTACTTCACAGTATTGATGTACCTGACAAGCCCCCTCTCCCTGGTTTCCTCCTGCACATATCTGAGTATCTGCTAGATGACATGTCTGTACTGCAACCCGTACTAGGATATTTAATCCTACACTGCAAACCTATATATATTTATAAAACTATTTTTTTTTGATTTTGGTGATGGATACGAATTGTTTGAAAGAAGTTTAAAATTAAGGCTATTGAGTTATTATACCTGAGAGCAAACTTCTCTGCTCACTACTGGCAGTCGGATTTTTTTTAGAACCTACAAATGGTGGATTGAATGCATGGAATGAAAGTCTGATAACCTAGTTTGGTACGTAAAATGGCATACTAGAAAAACGCTATATAGATAAAACGCTGCACTCATAAAACGCTACAAGATAAAATATAAAACGCTAGTAAAGAAAAAACGCTACTGTATGAAAATATCGTAATTTTAGGTTTGAACTTTAGATTGGATGATAAATTGTATTTCTTATACATATAAGGGAAGGGAAGGGTAACGGAGCATGAGTTTTTAAAGAAAAACATTAAAGGTTCTAAAACAACATTCTAACTACTTTTGTTTAGTATTTTTCCTAATTTGACACCTCAAGGATGCTTTTTTACTATGCCAAAGGTGGTCACGTGTTAAAAAAGATGAACTTGCAAAATTCTACTCCAAAAACAGTAAGGAACCAAAGTTTGGCAATTTTGTTCGCCTGCATAGTAAAAATTGCTGATATTCCTTAAGAGGAATAAAAAATTTACATAAGGGTTGCAATTTTATTGACATTAAAAATGTCGTAAGTTTACAAACAATTGATGATTTACGTTGAAAACTAAAACCTTCAGCTTAATTTAAAATGTGGAATATGTTGAACGTCAAAGTTAGAACAACTAATTAAGCATAAGGTTATAATGATTCAAGAAAAAGTTTATCTCAAAACATCCAATCCCGTATACCCACCAGTTGAATATTATGTCTGATTTCTGATTTCATTTCTACAGTCTGTTAAAAGAAAGGGAGAATACAGAAGATGAATATGCAGTAGAAACATTAACGTAAAATGTGCAATGTTGAGCAGTTAATGTGAACTAACAACTTTAATGTAAGATTTGTTTTCTCTGTATGTAAATATACTTTGTCCGTACTGTATGTGACATAAATATATTTATATATATTTGCCAAATTGTAAAAATATATTACGCATAAGAAGTTAATTTAGTCTTAATCTTAAATAGCTTTCTTGACTACAATGATTTAATTAGATATATATTTGCAGCATATTGACATTTTAAAAGATTTTTATAAATAAATGTGTATAATAAGTTTTTTATATTTTTAATTTTTATATGTAGTTGCATGGTTAATTCGACAAAAATTTAAATAAATGTTTACAAATTCTATTATGAACTTATTAACTTGCAAACATAAAGTGAAAAGAGTAGCGTTTTTTCTTCACTGGCGTTTTTCTGGGTACACCGTAAAATGTACGTATCAATTGTATAATTTATTGGAGCAATGTACATTAGATTGAGTCATTATTTTCAAAAAAACAATGTAAAATGCAGGCTCCAATAAATAATTATTAAATGATAAAATTTATTAAGAGAATGAAGTGTGCTTGCTACTAGATTCCCATGCTTACCTGCGACACCATGCCGTTCGGCCATTTTGTTCTCCCCCAGCCTGAGAGGAGACCTGTGCTGTCTGTACAGTGTACAATGTCAAGGCTTAGGTTCAAAACCGGTTTTTTGTCAATAATTTTTAATGTTCAGAAATTTTATAATTCAAATATTTTTATGAAAAAGTAAAGTATGTATTTTTTCATAAGGACAAGATTTCTTACATATAATGTTGACAGCATTCATGGCATTTTAAAAATATTATTTCGGATATTTACTTTCTTTTTGAGACTGTGTCTGGAGAAAAATATTACTTACATACAAAGAATCTGTTATCTTTACTATATCACAATACAATACATACTTAATTTTGATAAAAGGCTGTTTATTTTTATCATTTAAAATAGCAATTTTACAAAAGGCTGATTATTTTTCCTTTATTTACCTGTATGAACATCTCCGACATGTGGAACACAAACAGGATAGATAACTCCACTGATTTAGTTCAGTTTTTTAAAAATGTTAACAGAAAATTTTTTTGTGAAAATTATGCTGCTTTCAGTGGATAAAAACTTAAACGCAATTATTAATTTTTTCTTGGTTTAAAGTTCTGACAAATATTCTATTTATTTTTGATTAGTCTTAGCGCACAAATGCTTTTAGGGAGTTATTGTTCACTAAAATAATCAACCTAGAGCAGGGAAGTTTATTCTTCACTTTAATCACAGCAATATCATTTAAATATCTAGAAAATATCATTCAAATATCTAGAAAATATCTGTTGAATATCTAGAAAATATCATTCAAATATCTAGAAAATATCCTTGTAATTTCTAGAAAATATCATTTAAATATCTAGAAAGAAATCATTGAAATATCTAAAAAATTATTTGAATATATGAAATATCATTTAATATCTAGAAATATCATTCAAATATGTAACCTGAATAGTTTAGGTCCTTCTTGGTCGAATGAGTATGCTGGATCTCTGTATTCAGGATGAATAATTATCTCAGAAACATCCATTCGAACCTCATTCCTGGTATAAATTGTTCATTAAATTGTCTTTAATGACGTTATTTTTTAATTAGACCTTGATTTTCTGGGGCTCAACTATGCTATGGAACCAATTAAACTAAATTGATCTTTTGAATTTAAATTTGAAAGGATGTTTTCCTAAGAAGCAAACAGTTTTTAAATGTTATTATCATATTATTTAATACCTAAACAAATCTGACTTGGATTTTCTTTCCTTTAAATACAGGCTTTCAAACATTTAAACTTATGTCACTAAAAATATTTGTTTTATTCACTAAAACCCCGGGTATATATATCAACTATATGCGAATGCATCGACTTGAATTCAACAATTTGTATTGACGCTACGCTCTTAATTTAGTTAAAGACGGTTTTAAACATTTTCTCCTGAAAACCGCAACAGATCGAATCAAAATTAGTAGCAATCAACATCGAATTCAATTCGATATCAGCCTATGCCTCCTTTTATTTTTCGCGACCACTCTCTTTAAACATTCAAATATTACGTTAAACTAAAGTGAATTGAACGTAAGAATAATATCTGATATGTTCTCAATTATTAAAGCTCTGTGAAGAGGAATAAAAATGTATTTCTAATTTCTAATATGTTACTGTTATGTATGTTACTGTTATGTATGTTACTGGATAATTTTGCTTTTCTCATACTTCTGCGTAAAATGAAAACTAGGGACGCTACGAGGTCACAATGTTGCATTTTAAACCTTCTCCTGATATACTTATTGACCTGTCTAGCGGTGAGGGTTCCTTTAACAGCATATTGTGTGCTCCACATGCAATTCTAATACTTGATGGATCATCTATACCCTGACCAAATAAATACATATTTTTATAATCTAACAAAACTCTTGAATAATTTTTTTAAGGAGGGGGTACAAGAACAGGGTTTCCAGCGAAAACGGTGAAACATTTCGCGAAATTTTCGCATTTTTGGGGGAAAAACACATTTTCGCCGAAAATTTCGCATTATTTCGTTTGCTCGAGAAAAATGCAAACATTTTCGCTTTTTTGCGAAATTACGCTTTAATCTATTTCGCGAAAAAAATGATAAAATTGCGCAAAAAATAAGGAAGCGAAATTATTAATTATTATATAACAAAACTTCTAATGCTGAGCGCTCAGAGCAGAGAATTCCACAAATATTTCGTGGATTTTTTTGGGAAATTATTTTCCGCAAAATTTCGCATTTTTTTGTCATTTTTTCTATTAATTCATTTTCACGAAAAAATGCGAAGTTTTGCGAAAAAGTTTGCGTAATACGAACGAAAATTTTCGCATTTCTTAATAGGGTGGGTTATTTTTTCTGCGGTGAGATTCATGTTATTGTGGGTCAAACATGATTTATTTAAACTGGCTCAAAAATTTGAGTTTTGTCTAAAATAGTGAGAACCAGAAAATTCTGGAATAGAAAAACTTTAAACAGCCCAATAGAAATGAAACACAACAATTGTGCAGCTTAAACAGACCAATTTGACAAGTGATTTAAATATGTATTTGTATTTTGTACCACTATTTGCTTAGTAACAAAATTATTTACGTATAGGTATTGCTATAATGCCGTCAACCTATTCCAAAGTTTGATAGTTCAATTACTGTACATGATTATTATATGACCTGTACACAATGTGCTGCTGTAACAAGAACTACGGGATTACAGTTAAGAAGAGCGGCTCCGCAACCCCTCCAACGATTATCAGATCTATAAAACAAAAAACAATTATTCACGTCTTTTTCTTAGTATCTTCTGTCTTTAAGAATGTTATCTTTACTTGCTGATTCTAATTACGACTTAGAAACAATAGGTTCTACAGTTTTTTTTATTACTGCTGTATTTAAACTGACCATTAAGTAGAGACGGTTTTTTTAATTTAACATAAATTTGTTTGCTTTTAGTCTTTTTGCAGGATTGATATATATTGCCTGATCAGTTAAGGTACTAGGCAGAATGGAGATCACTTATTTCCTACTGTTTTGGGGGAAAATTAAATGAAAATTAAGCTTCTAATTTCAATATATATTATTTGTCGTATATATACCCAACAAACCTAAGAATAGCACACATCCATGGTATTTCATTTTCTACCGCTTCATGTCCGCCAATAATCCTGCTGATGGACTGCCGACCACAGTTTGTATAGTTATGAAGAGAGAAGGAAGGAGAATGATACCTACCAGCAGGAAGAGGACAGCAGGGAGGTCCGTCTGTTGAGGATTTTAACTCCTTCACAAACAAAATAATATGATTTTAAGAAGAAAAGTAGGTTTAGGAAAGTGAGGGCGAAAAAATGATTAAATAAATCTTTTCATTATTCGGAGAAGTTTAAGTAAGGGATTAAAAAAAGCTCAGATCCACCTTACGCCAGTTCTAAAGTTTTCTTTGATACATTTAAAAAACATTCTAACTAATTTTGCTTTTTTGTGAAAACTAATCACGAATATAAGCTAGAAAAAGGATTGTAAGAAGGCTTGGATCTAAAGACGGATAGGTTAAAGAGAAGGATAGGATCTGGAGAAAAATTGGGTAAAGAGAATGATAGGATCTGGAGAAAGATTGGGTAAAGAGAATTGGATAGGAAAAAGATTGGGTAAAGAGAAGGATAGGATCAGGAGAAAGATTGGGTAAAGAGAAGGATAGGATCTGGAGCAAGATTGGTTAAAGAAAATTGAATAGGATCTTGAGAAAGATTGGTTAAAGAGAATTGAATAGGATCTTGAGAAAGATTGGTTAAAGAGAAGTATAGGATCTTGAGAAAGATCGGTTAAAGAGAAGGATAGAATCTTGAGAAAGATCGGTTAAAGAGAAGGAAAAGATCTTGAGAAAGATCGGTTAAAGAGAAGGATAGGATCTGGAGAAAGATCGGTTAAAGAGAAGGATATGATCTAGAGAATGATCAGTTAAAGAGAAGGATATGATCTGGAGAAAGATCAGTTAAAGAGAAGGATAGGATCGGGAGAAAGATTTGGTTTAGAGAATGATAAGTCTGAAGAAAGATTGGGTTTAAGAGAAGGATAAGATCTGGAGAAAGATTTGTTAAAGAGAAGGATAAGATCTAGAGATAGATTGGTTAAAGAGAAGGATAGGATCTAGAGAAAGATTGGTTTGGAGAAGGATAAGATCTGGAGAAAGATTTGTTAAAGAGAAGGATAAGATCTAGAGAAAGATTGGTTAAAGAGAAGGATAGGATCTTAAGAAAGATTGGTTTAAGAGAAGGATAAGATCTCGAGAAAGATTTGTTAAAGAGAAGGATAAGAACTGGAGAAAGATTTGTTAAAGAGAAGGATAGGATCTAGAGAAAGATTGGTTTAAGAGAAGGATAATATCTGGAGAAAGATTTGTTAAAGAGAAGGATAAGAACTGGAGAAAGATTGGTTCAAGAGAAGGATAAGATCTGGAGAAAAATTGGTTAAAGAGCTAGGATAGGATCTAGAGAAAGATTTGTTTAAGAGAAGGATAAGATCTAGAGAAAGATTTGTTAAAGAGAAGGATAAGATCTAGAGAAAGATGGATTACCGCAGTATCACAGGGTTTACAGTGTTTGTAAAGAGAATATGAAAGTTTCTCTTCTTCTAGGTAATTATTCTCTCCTAGGTTCTACAAATATAAAAGGTATTATTCAAAGGCTTACATTTTTATATCTCGAATTTGACCCAAGATGATTTAGCCTGATCAATCTCTTTAGAGAATTGATCATATTTTAGATAATATTGATCTGACCTGATCATATTGTTGATAATGTTGATCTTGATCTACGTAGTAACTATAATAATCTGAATACTCCCTGTACTCCTCTCCCCCTGGATCCTCCTCCAGAAATATCCCGGATTCAGAAGATCTGGAACAGATTCGCATCGTTCTTAAAGGGACTGTAAAAGAAAAGTGAAAGGTGGTATAGGCTGAAACCAGAGATTCTCAGGAGTTGAACGATTCCTATCTGATGTTCCTGTCTCGAGAAATTGACATAAAACTGTGTCAACGTTATACCAAAACGTATATATATAAGATATACGTCCGTATCACGTGACCAGAACTACCTTTAATCTTTGTGAAGAAACAATCTCAAGAACTGACGAGGGTCAACCGAGACCGAAATATATTTTCAATAAATGTGGAACTAACATCTACTTTTTTTACTCTACAGAGGTTTGGTCCATCACCATCACCGAATTTTAAAACTACCTCTAATGGCAGTGCAGTATACTGGTCACGTAATGCAGTCGGAGACACGTGACAATAATACTGCACGACCATTAGTTGGAGTTCTGGTGACATGTTCCGAACGCATAAATAATAATATCAATTATATCTATTAAAGATAAAAAATTATTGCATTCAAATAATAATAGGAGCAAACTTGAGTTTCTCAGGCTCCTTTGGAATATCGTTGTTTTCAGATTGGTTACGTATTTGTTGAATATAATCTGTTGAATACTATGAACCTTATACAAAATCTTACAAATATACGTTTTGGTATAATTTTTACACAGTTTTATGTCAAGTTCTCGAGACAGGAGCATCAGATAGAACTCTTATAGGTATCGATCGATCAACTCATGAGATGCTCAGGTTTTAGCCCATACCCCCTTTTATTTTTCCTTTACTGTCCCTTTAAATTTAGGCAACAGTTGAAAAATATTATCATTTAAACCTTACAAACTATCATCATCATTATTAGTACCTATAGTCTCTACTATTACATGAAGATGATCTTGGAAGAAGGCTAATGAAGAGAAGAGGCATACAGAATCCCTGAATAAGTTTTCGAAAATAAAAATAATCATGTTTTCAATTTATTGAAGTTCTTCAAAGATAAATCTTTTACGTATTCACAAGATTCATATGAGTTCAGGAATTGGATATTTCAAGTTTAATCTTCCTGTTATTTGCATTACATTTACATTTACAACGGTTTTTACGATCAGAAATGAACAAACTATTTCTGGTTTTTAACTTTAAACAAAGATTTTTTTTAAATTGTTTTATTCCATTTCACATTTTTTTTTTTCTCACAGATTTCTGGTTAAAATAAACTGAAAATTTTTTTAGACTTAACCACTGTTATGCTAGAAAACATGATTGATCCGATAAAGGTTTAAAGGTTTGCAATCGACCCTGCCCCTTTTTTTAATAAAGGGAACAGCTGCAATCTCTTTAACATTTTTATTAGATTTTAGTATATTTAATCAAATAGAATTTTCTTTGGAAACTGTTCAACGAACTTTTTATACAAATCTAAATAAAAACAACTATTAATTGTTATTCAGATTTATTAACAGGTTACCGTCACGATATGATACCTTAGAAAACCTTTTAGACTCAAGATTGAGATGCATAACCTTTTTTGGTTTAATATATTGACAGATAAAATACGTACTACATTTCTTTATGACTTTAAACAAAATTTAGAAAATTCAGTTTACTAATCGCTAGATTGTAACCTTCCAAAGATCGGAAAATTGTCGAAAACTTGATTTTTTTTCAAATGATTGAATGAAATAATAATTTTTATTTTTGGCAATTACATTACGTATGTACCTGAACACTGGACTAATGTTTATTTTATCTATAAATATAAAGTAGTGATCTCTGTTTGTTTGTATTTCTAATTATAATTCATGAACCCTAAGTTTTAATTGGGGAATTGTAATTTTATTGGGTTGCCTTTAATAGCAAAAGTTTTGTTTTCAGGCAAAGGTGGGTTCCAAACTAGATGGAAATAAAATGAAAACTGGAGAATTTACAAGAACATTGTTTTAAATAGACAGTATAAAATTTACAGTCTTCCTATTCCATGTGCAATAAGGGTGTATTTATGACATTATATGGAACTNGGGGGGGGGGTGATGCTATCTATTAAACATACATACGTCTGTTTTAGTTGATTTCACGCACATACAATTTTTGTGGTTACTTTAGAAAAATAAATCAAGCATTGAAATATAAATTTTTTTGCAATGCAATATTAAAATAAGATTGCTTACTTCTAGTTCTGAGTACAATTGAATTTACCGTCAGTTCATTCTTTACGTGAATCTAAAGCATTATTTAGCAGATTTGTAACCAAGCTAATAACTCAATTCCCTTTTAAGGCAAATCGGTCCAGGGGTTCCTGAGTTATGAACAAAGAAACAGAGATTACTACATAATATTTATACATAAATATACCAATATACCAATATATACATATAAATACCAACAATTCTGTTGATTAACCTTCTTATTTGTAAAAATGTCTATCTCTGCGTTAAAATACTGAAAATATTTCTAAAAGAAAAGAATGAAAACGAATCTAAATCCTGAAGTTTTAAACCTGAGAGTAACTATTCTTGAAGTAGAGCATTCTCAGACTAATTAATACTGACTGATTTCATCCTATCATTCATGGTAGGGGATTAATAGTTCTGTAAGAAGGGGGGAATAGACCTTAAAAGATTTGTCTGTTCAAGAAAGTATAAACTTAAACTTATTTTAAATTGTTGTTTCTCTGGAAAGTGACTAACGCATTTCTGCTTCAGAAACTAGGAATAAAATTGTTTTAATTGAACAATTTTTTAATTCAATTATTTATTTATCGGGCCGGGCCATCCCCTAAATGGAAGGTAACTTGAAACTGCAACGACATTCTCTTTATTACCAGGCCGATGATTTATCTTGATTTCAGAGAACCACTAAAGCTTTCACTGGTTCCGTTCGCGAAGTTTCTTTCTAATTTTACTTTTATTAAAAACAGCCCTTATCGACTAGATACGTTCTGACTAAAGTATTGTATGTATGTGTATAATAGTTTCAAAAAATGTTTATCATTAATAGAAATATAAAAGTTTAAAGTTTGATACTAACTTTTCTGTACTTTATCAGCTATTTTAATTCAGTTTCTAGCAACATGAAATTTAAAGGATTGTTATATACACTAAGCTTAAACCTGAAAATCGTAGAAAGCTCAGAAGGCAAATTTCCGAATTTAAGCTGGTAAATAGATTTATCAATAACTCGTGGTTCCAAACTTAATGGACTTAAATTTGATTCAAGTCCTGATTTAAACTTATTTTAATGCTATTAACTTGAGTGAAGAAAAAGTAGGGTTGAGCGTAGTGCAAGCAGGGTAGAGAGTAGAACAAGTAGGATTGAGTGTAGAACAAATATGGTAGAGTAGAATAAGTAGAGTTGAGAGCAAACAAAGTAGGGTTGAGAGTAGAACAAGTAGGATTGAGTGTAGAACAAGGGTAGACAGTAGAACAAGTATAGTTGAGAGCAAACAAAGTAGGGTTGAGAGTAGAACAAGTAGGATTGAGTGTAGAACAAGGGTAGACAGTAGAACAAGTAGAGTTGAGAGTAGACAAAGTAAGGTTGAGAGTAGTACAAGTAGGTTAGAGAGTAGAACAAGCAGGGTTGAGATTAGAACACGTAGAGTTGAGAGTAGAAAAAGTAGGGTTGAGAGTAGTACACGCAGCTAGGGTAGAGAGTAGAACAAGTAGGATTGAGTGTAGAACAAATATGGTAGAGAGTAGAACAAGTAGAGTTGAGAGAAGAAAAAGTAGGGTTGAAAGTAGTACAAGCAGGGTAAAGAGTAGAACAAGTAGGGTTGAGAGTAGAACAAGTAGGGTGGAGAGTAGACAGTAGGGTTGAGAGTAGAACAAGTAGGGTTTAGAGTAGAATAAGTAGGATTAAGTGTAGAACAAGTAGGATGGAGAGTATAACAAGTAGGTTTGAGTGTAGAATAAGTAGGGTTGAGAGTAGAACAAGTAGGATTGAGTATAGAACAAGTAGGGTTCATTGTAGAACAAGTAGGACCTGAATAACACAATAAGGGTCAAAATTAATTGTTAAAGACTAAAAACCGAGATTTTTAACGTATCAAACATGCATTATAGTTTATTAAGATAAGATATTTTGTTTGTTTTACATTATGCTTTCTTTGATAAGCTATTTGCACCAAAACAAAAATACTGGAGGTATAAGATGTAGAGATTTTAGTTAAACTATGAATACTAATAGCCAATACTTAATTTTAAAACAAGGAATGTACAGGATGTAAATGCCTGTAAAGATGAAGAAAAGCTCTTCAGTTTTCCCAAAAATTCGAAAAAAATCCAAAAAGCTTGAGGATGAGAACAAACAGCATCTCTTAACCTGGTCATATTTTATATATAACTAGCTGAAGAGCCCAGCGTTGCCCGTGGAAGAAAAAAAAATTTTGATAAAAAATTTTTTTAGCCTATAACACCACCCGGCCATCTATGAGTGTCCACAAAAAATTTAAACCCAATCAATACAGCCGTTTGGCCGGCTATACGTAACATATATATATACGAAGGTCTTGTTTAATTATATAGATTTCAACTAGTCTCCGGGTTTTTTTTGCTGCACGATGGTTCATTAGAATGATTAGTCTAATATAAGAAGGGAAAACAAAGCTTCTCAAATACAAAAAAAATATTAGAACCCTGTCATTTCACAAGACAGGATAGAAATAAAAATTCGTAAATAACTTGTTTCAGAAAGTACTAATTTTTTTCTTAAATTTGAAGAAAAAATAATCTTTTACACATAATATTGGTGACAAAAATAAGATTTTATGCCAATTTTCTCCCCTTTTTCTTCTTTCTTTCCTTTTTTGTTTCCTTCCTTTTCTTCTTTCATTTTTTTTGTCTCAGTTAGTGTGCAATCCCCCCTTCAGGTGTAAAAGGGGGGGGGGCGTACCCCCGTGCCATACGCCCCCCCTTGCTACGGGTTGAGTGTAGAACAATTGTAGTGTTAAGAGTAGAACATATAGGGTAAGTGTAGAAGTAAGGATCAGTCCAGAACATTTTACGGAAATGATTTCCGGCGAATTTCCGGTTGGAAGACTTGAAGTCATTGGGTGAAATGTCATTCTTGGAGAAATTCCTAGTGTAGGCTAAAGAGTCGTGGGCCCTCACACGACACGAGTCGTGTAAAAGTTGGTGTGGGGGGGGGTCCAACTTCTCAGATTAGAGTTTTAACTTTTAACAATATCATCATTTCCGCGTACATGAACTTCCTCTCAATATAATTGTGACAATTTTCATAAGATGTAAAAGCTATTCAACCAAAGAGTAGAGGAATATATAGATACAGGATATATAGGTACAGGATATATAGATACAGGATATATAGATACAGGAATATATAGATATAGGAATATATAGATACAGGAATATATAGATACAGGAATATATAGATACAGGAATATATAGATATACAGGATATATATACACAGGAATATATAGATACAGGAATATATAGATACAGGATATATAGATACAGGAATATATAGATAGAGGAATATATAGATACAGGTACAGGATATATAGATACAGGATATATAGATACAGGATATATAGATAGAGGAATATATAGATACAGGAATATATAGATACAGGAATATATAGATACAGGATATATAGGTACAGGATATATAGATACAGGATATATAGATACAGGATATATAGGTACAGGGATATATAGGTACAGGATATATAGATACAGGAATATAAAGATACAGGATATATAGGTACAGGATATATAGATACAGGATATATAGATACAGGAATATATAGATACAGGAATATATAGATACAGGATATATAGATACAGGAATATATAGATACAGGAATATATAGATACAGGATATATAGATACAGGAATATATAGATACAGGATATATAGATAAAGGAATATATAGATACAGGAATATATATATACAGGAATATATAGATATAGATACAGGAATACATAGATACAGGATATATAGATACAGGAATATATATACAGGAATATATAGATATAGGAATATATAGATACAGGAATATATAGAAAATTGTTAAATCTTATAAATCTTTCTTTCTTTAAAATTATGTGTGGATAAGAATGTACATTAAGCTGCAGAAATACACGAGTTTCAGAGAAAACAGGCATCTTATTAAAAACAAATAGCAATGACTAGAGAGGTCTGGAATTAACCTGCCAAAATAATTGAGAAGTGAAAACTATGATTCTATGGGGGGGGGTCAGCATGTACCGAAAAATGGCATACCCCCTCCCCCCTCCCCGCAAAAAAAGTAATTAAGTGAGTTAAAATCAAAAGCCAAGGCGTTGCGACGCTTCCAATTCCACCAAGTCTAAAAAATAAACCTAATTTCATAGCTGTCTGGATCTACGTGGGATTTGAAAAAGACGAAAATTTTGAAAGTATTGAATCCTAACGATTTACTTGTGTTTCTTCAGAATTTATCAATGAAAATGAAAGCGTGTGTTGGTAATAAATCAGTTTTATTGTTGAAAACTAAAGATGAAAAAATCAAATTCTACACGCGGTAACCCACAAAGAATGAGAATTTAGAGACAACACAGTAAGAAAATGGTTAACTCTAATTTATTACATTCTAAGTCCCCTGCAGCCTTAAAGGAAGTGTTCGCGAAAAATGAAAGGGGGTATAGACTTACGGCAAAAAATAAGCGCTTTTGATCGCTACTAATCTTACATCCATCTGTTTCGTCTATAATTGTTGAAAACGACTCATACCGAAGATCGAACGTAGCGTCCTTACAAATTCAGAAACATGCAACATTCAACTCGGATCGTATAAAAATCAATTCAATTCCAAACTAATTATTCAGATATTACAACCAATAATCATCGATAATTTTTCGACGCAATCGTATAAAGTTGATATTTCATAGTATTTTTTTTATCTGATAGTTACTTTTGAAAACATTTATTTCTGTTTCGAGGATTATTGATAAAGAAGACGACATTTTCATATTTTCCAGGAATGTTCGAAATTCCAGCGCCAGCGAAATATTATTATAAATAAACAAAATCAAAAATATTAGGAAATATTAACTATGTACGAATGCGTCGAAAAATAATTGATGACTCATGGTTGTCATTTCTGAATGATTTGTTTGATTAAATTGATTATTTTACGATCCGAGTTGAATGTTGCAACTTTCTAAATTTGCATGGACGCTTCGTTCTCCAGCATGAGTCTTATTTAACAATTTTCTCCTTATAGACGCAACAGATAGAAGTAAGGTTAGTGATCAAAAGTGCTTAATTTTCGCCGTAAGCCAATACCCCCTTTATTTTTTCGCGAACACTCCCTTTAAACTTGTTTCTATTTACCAAATAATCCATAAAAGATTCAGCGCAGTGTACTGAAGTAAAACTTCAGAAAGCCATATGTACAGAGTTCACAGAGTTCACAGAGTTAATCGAATTTAACTAATATTATGATCAAGCGTAACCATGAATCAATTTTAATTTTTTTTTCTTAGTGCGGATTTGAAATCACCGTATCCGCATCAAAATATAATGGTACAAAATATAATGGCTGTCTATAATTCTAAGACACGAACAATTCCTGAAAGTAAATTTTTTAAAAAAGTTTTTCCCACGAAATAATGAAATATTACAAAAACATTGTGGTCATTATTAATATTTTTTTCACTAAAAGCAATTATCATTTAATACATATGTTGTTTTATTTATTACTTTATATTTTCTATGGATTGCCTAAGAAACTAATCATAGCATTTAAAAGAAGTGTTTAAATATCGTCTTTTATCTTCACGATTTTCATGAATACATCTAATTAAAAATACAAGGTTGGTACTACTCTCGATGCGCTCCAATGTACGGAAAATGTCGTTTCCTAAGATAGACAGATAAAACCTCATATGACGTCACTGATTATAGAGACGAAAATGACGTCATATGAGGTTGTTCTAACTATCTAGGAGACGACATTTTCAGTAAATTGGAGCGCATGGAGAGTAACCTAACTTATTATACAACCTTGCAGTCAGACCTGCAGGGAACCATGCTTGAATGTAATTAAAAAGATTGCATTAATGCTGTACACACTGGTCCTATCATTGCATTATCCGAACCAGTACAAGGATTTCGTAATCGTACCGCACACTCATTTACTCGTACCAGCCCGTCTAGTGAACACCAGCCCGTGTTATGCTGGCTGAATAATTGTGCAGTCGTCTCTGAAGTCTCACCTTTTTTAGATAACACTACAAGTTGTTTTTGGCAGAAACAAAATGGAAAAACCAAATAAATTGACTAAAATCCATCAAAACCAAATAAATTGACTAAAAATCCATCAAAACCAAATAAATTGACTAAAAATCCATCAAAACCAAATAACTTGACTAAAAATCCATCAAAAGCAAAAAAATTGACTAAAAATTCATCAAAACCAAATAAGTTAACTAAAAATCCATCAAAACCAAATAAATTCATTAAAAATCATTAAAATAATGTAACAAGACAAAATAAAATCTTGATCTTAAAAAATGCTAAATTTTTTTTATAAAATGGTGTTTATTTCTTCTTGAGATTTTTTTTATGCCATATGAATATTTAAACAAAAAGTTTATGTGTATTTGTATGAATTATGGAAATGATGTTAATGAATTCTTGTACTTCAAGTCAGATCAAGAACAATATCCATAACCTTCTCTAGTACACACCTAGAACACATAACCTTTAGACGGGGGAGTCTACATCCAGGGAGGTTAAAATGTCCCCCTGCTGTTGGCTATGGTTTGTATGAAGATTGAAGATATACTAGAAAGCCAATGTGCTCTCGTACACGCCCCCACGCCATGCCATCAAAAGAGCTCCCTAGCATGTCATCGAAATTAACATTTACAAAAACAGAAATTCAGTAAAATACATTGGCCACATTTTTTTAAAATTCTCTTAATTCTGCCTTTACCACGTTCTAAACTTATCAAAAATGAGCAATAGCCTAAAATTTGTATCATTGTCATCATGTCATAAAATGTTCACTTTTCCCCATCCCTCCCCCCCAGCAGCGTTTACAGGGTTAATATACCTTGAAATCAAAGAAAAAGTGTTCAGTGTGGCACTTCTGTTTGAAACTTAAAACACATTTATCCAACCTGACACAAGTATCCTTATAAAACGTCCTTTTGTATTTGAAATATCATTTTTAAACCATGTGCTTTTTGCTTAGCAGTACAGGTCGGGGTAGTCGAGTCGTGCAATAAAACTCAAATTGCAGTTCGAAGCGTGAATCGATCATCCCTTCCGGAATTCTCGTCTCCTCCTTTCAGCCCC